CCAAGTTTTGATTACAGGCTCTTTATTTCTGGCAGGAGTGTAAGAAGGAGAAAAGGCACAGCTGGGGTTTCGACAGTAGGTGGGTACCACACGCTCTGGAAATTGGGAAAAGGCACCTTTCAGCCTGGAAATTGTGGTGATTTGTCTGGGGAAGTTAGAAAGAAAATAAATACAAACCTTAGCCTATCCCCAACTCCTCATGATGTCATTTACAAAGTAAGGGACAGAGAGCAAGATCACCTGGCTAACAACCCTTGCCAAAAAGCTGGATGCTCAGCCAAGACCAGATGGGAGGGCTGCTGCAGGCTCCTTAGGTGAATGATGTTACTCTCCTTTTCTTGTATTTATGGCTTACTTTTACTAGCATGGGAAGGAGAAGAAATTGTAAGCATTTGCCAACCTCATTGCATTTAAAAAAACTATAGGCAGGATTTTAAAATACAGAGTTCAGACGGAGAGATCTAGTTCAATGATAGAGTTCTTGCTTAATATACAGAAGGCTCTGTGTTTGATTCAAAGCACTACAGAAAAAAAGGGAAGAGGGAACTGAAGCAAGAGGGAGAATAGGGAGAGAAGGAAGTTATTGTCCTCAGCTAGTTCCAGGAAGTTTAGTTCAGATGGCCAGGTAATCTGGGTTTTCAAAAGAACTCTTACTTGATTGTGATAAGTTTTCCTACAAATTTCATCTGAAACCCATTTGTCTAACGGTTGGGGTGTTGTCTTAGAGCTTGAAAACCTCAGAATCTACTCTGTCTTTAGCTGGTAACTCTCTTACTCTAGGGACATCAGGAAAGTCACCAACTTGTCACTAGTATTAATTTCCTATAAAAGACAACGCCTTTCCCTTCCTTTACCCACTGGCATGAAGATACTACAGAGAGGGGATAGACGTGAGCAGATGTTCTGCAGAAAGGAGTGGAAGGAGGTTTCCAGCAAGCCTTGGATCCTGTCTTGACAAGGACTTGTCTGCATGATTTGGTTCAGTGCTGACAGTTATCCTTCCTTGAAATGCAAATCCATTCCTACCATGACTTCAAAGAGTTTCTTGGCTCCTGGTTTGCACTTATTGCCTGAAGGAAGTGGACCATTAGGAGTAACGCCTTCCCCTGCCCCCCAGGAATAATCCTATTAGAGTGAGAGGTCAGTATGCGATATCCCCATGTCAGGAGATACGCAGAAGCAGTTATCCAGATCATGCCACAGAGGTGCTATGGTCTTGGGAGTCGCAGAAACAGTACGGTAGACTGAGTATCTCAACTGACCGGCATTCATGCCTCGCAGTTCTTGATGACAGAATTTGGTAGATGTCTTCTCGGAAAACATGTTTCCCTGTATGCAAACGCTCTCCTTTCTGCTGTGTCCTCATAGGGAAGAGCGTAGACAAGGCAGGGAAGCGTTTGTGCCCCTTTGTCTAAGGACACTAGTCCCGTCCTGAGGGTGCCATCTTATGCCTTAATTATCCCCCCCAATGCCCTCCCTCCTAGTGTAATCACACTGAGGATGAAAGTTTTGACATAAACTGGGGAGTTGGAGAAAGAACAATCATTTTGTGTACAATAGTAACTGAATAAAGGAGACTAGGAGGAATGTTTTAAGTTTCAGCCCCCCTCAGACAGGCCTTAGAAAGAAGCCAAGTTTTATGGAGCTAGAACTAATCCAAGGAATTCTTATTTTCTGATATAATCATGGTGTCCTTGGAATGTAACAAAACGGCCAGAAGGGCCCCATGGCACACAAGCTCCATACCATGACGCTGAAGACTCAGGCCATTAACTGTGAATCCACACGTAAGCATGATCAACAGATTGAAGCATCTCATACCACTAGGCCACTGGGAACCTGGTGAATGCTTTGGAAGTGGTCTGAAGGTGGGGCCTTAACAATATCATCTGATGTAGAGGTACAGGACCTGAAAAACAAACAAACAGAAACCCAGGAGATGGCTGTAGCAATGGTTCACTTGTGTGGTCTCTTTGGTTGGATTAAGAAGCACATAGAGCATTAATGAGGCACAGCTTTGCATATATCTGAGTATTTTCAGAGAAATTTAACTGAGGAGAGGCTTGAAAGAAAGACACTCCTCAAATGTGTATGGCACCATGCCCCGGGGTGGAGACCAGGATGAATAAAAAGAGGAAAAGGGAAAAGTCAGCAGAGAGCCAATATTCCTCTTTCTTGCTTCCTGATCTTTGGCAATATATGCACCATGGACAGTCTTGGTCCTATGCCTACACCTTCCCTGCCATGGCAGACTATACTCCTCTGGACTAACAGTCAGAATCTTCCTCCTTCAAGTTGCTCTCTGTCAGGTGCTTGGTCACAGCCATGAGAAAAGGAACTAACACAGCTACGTAAAATCATCTACTTTCCAAAGGAAAAGAAGCATGAGGAAGGAGAATTCATGAAACTGGGAGAAGTGTAGGAAAGGACTGTTATGAACGGACCCTGGTTGCCTAGGCAACAACGATGCTCCCACCCCCCATGCTTGCCCAGTTCAGGGGCTGCGCTCTCAATTGTGTTTCTTCTCTTGCTACCACACATCAGTCCTCGTCTCTTGCTGTTGCCGGTTTGCAGCCCAGGTCCTGTCATAGTGTGTGGGTACAACCCCAATACCCAAACTCACTCTTCCCCATGCAAGTTTAATCTGTCTACTCTCACCTCTGAGGTTATTAAACTGGCAAAGAAATGCATGAACTCGACATTCTTGAATAATTCCTCACTCTGGGCAAGGAAAGGGGAGACTGTTTCCATGGTTAAACTATTTCAAACCAATTCAGAGAAAAAGAAAAATACCACATGAAGTAAAAATATTATCATCCTAGCCAAGCAAGGGTTTTCCTTTGCAACCGTGCTGACAGGCAAGGATTGTACAGCTTTGCTTCCCTCTTGGTGTCAGTGGTGTTGCTGACTCTCTCCTTTTGGGAAATGTCATTCGGCAGAGCCATGGGAAGGGTCTCAACTGTGGAAGGGGGAGGGTTCTCCTGGAGGACTTAAAATCTGCAGAGCAAAGGAAGAGAAAATGCTGAATTTAAGGGAGATTTCAAAGGAGCCTCATTAGAGCAAAATGAGCGCAAACTCTTTGCTAGAAAACAATTTTCGAAGCCATCTTTAAGTATCATCTTTGTGAGGGAAGAATCCTTGTACTAAATAATACATAGCGTGTTCTTTCATTAGCATAGAGTTTCACAATTGACACCTCTAACCTATGCTAGTGAGATCCTGGTGCAACACACACCCTTCTAAGGAGATAGTATTAAAAACATGCTATCCAAATTGTTTGAAAGCAAATGCATCCTGTGGTAAAAGATCCTGGGAAAAGGACTTAACATCACGGTGGGTTCTTTTTCTATATAATTGAGACAAAAGCAGAGTTTTATTCTTAGAGCTATGATGAGTCGATTGATTTGTTTGTTATGAGTCTTGCAATGTACCTGATGTTGTTCATTGCAAATCAGTGGTTTAAAAATAAAGTATTTATTTTCTTAGTTCTAAATATAGGCTAAATACTGCATCCTAAAAATTGAAAACAAGAAAATGAAACAGCTGGTGCCTTCTGCAAGTTTCCAACCCAGTGGAAAAACCTGACTTCTGCATGTACCAGGGAGGTCTATGTTTCTCTGGTAGAAAATGGAAGAATATTACAAGCACAGAAAAGGCATTTTATGATGTTGGTTAAAAGCATATATAGGATGATGCACATATTTTAAGTGTTAAAATGATATCATGACACTAGAAAACATCATTTTAATGTTCTGGGCATGTAGCATAAGCCTGTAAGCCCAGGCAGTTGGGAAATATTGGTAAGAAGATCCATTAGTTTAGGGTCACCCTCAGATGCTAAGAGGCCAGCTTGGATTACATGAGACCCTGCCTCAAAACATACTTGCACGTGCGTGCACACACACACACACACACACACACACACACACAAACACACACTCACTCACTCACAAGCGAAAGCAAGCAAGTTAAAACCACCAGCTACATGGTGGAGAGAGCCAGTGGCCAAAGGATTATTTATACTTTCAATGACAAGCTTATCTGTAACCGCGAGTTTTGTGAATCAGAAGAAGGTATGCGAAAACAGCCAAACTGGAAAGCACCTCCTGACTGCAGTGAGTCAGCGGGGAGTGGAATGGAATCGGCAGTACCAAGAACTCTGGTGTTTTTGTTCCTGTCCCTCTCGAGCACAATCTCTGCTCAGGGGCCATGTCTGGACATGAGATGGAGGGCCAGTTCTTCCAGGCTGTACTGAGTCACATCAGCTCACGGATCTGATGAAAGCTATGAACATATTCCAAGAAAAAGTGAACTTGTAAACAAACAAAGCAGCCATAGTGATGTCAGTGGAGAGACTGTCCTTTGAAGGTCTGGTGGACCTTTGTTCTAGACCAATACATAGCTGGACTCTTTCTCCTCAAAGAGCTAATGACAATGAGCATTACTAATTTCAGCAACTATATCACCACAGGACAGGTGATCTTCACGTTGTATCTGGTGCGCCCTGAGTGTCTGACAGCTCTGCTGTACTCTGACTGTACAGCATCTCTCACTAGGCACAGATGTGAGACTGTGCCCATCAACAGTCCAGTTGCTATGCTATTTATCAGCTCTCTTGGGAGTAATAAGGCAAATGTGCAAGACCTCCCACCACTGTCAGTCCATAAACACCACTAGTTTTGGCTTAATGAGCCACAATGGGACATTTGGCTAAATAGAACCAATTGCCCTACCCTTTTTTATTTCCAGTGTGTGTGTGTGTGTGTGTGTGTGTGTGTGCATGATGTGTGGTCCCATACATATGACATGGCCTGTGTGGGGGTCATAGGACAACTTTGGAAGTCATTTCTCTCCTTCCAGCATGTAGGTTCCAGGGATTCAACTCAGGTTTGGCAAGTTTGCCCGCTGAGCATGTCCCCATTCCCCTTTGCTAATATTTATCATATCTTTCTGAGGGTTCAGTCTTCTCTGATGGACTGTTCGGTTTTGTGTCTCATTAGTAAGTTCCTGAAGATCCAATGCCTGGATGATGGAACCTGGGAACAGAGGAGCTGCAGCCCAGTGGTGTGCGAGCCTCCTTCTCCTGTCTTTGAAGGCATGTATGAGTGTACCGATGGCTTCAAACTGGACAGCCAATGTGTACTCAACTGCAACCAGGAAACGGAAACGGTAAGGAAGATTCTGTGAACTTCATTGTGGTGTGACTCTGCTTTCTTCTCCATGATCATGGCCATGACATGAATACTGGGAAGAAGTGAGCTGAAAGAAACACAGCAGGCAGGTCCTTACACAGCTGGGTTCTAATGAGAGGCATTGATAGTATTCCATAGAGAGTTCCGAAGAGAACTGGTGTTTTGGAGCATTCCCTTCCAAATTCAGTTTCCTTTGGGATAAGGAGAAGACACTAGTGAGTAGGGTACCAGGGCCCTTTTCATGCCAGTCTAGGATGCAGATTTGGCAATGCAGTCAGCTCTCATGAGTGCACTGACCTAACGAGTAGGAATGCAGGAGTCGTGAACTTCTTTTATAGTAGAACAAAGCCCCAAACAAAACCACGAATTATTCAGCAAAGCTTATTAAAGTGCTGTTTGACTAGTCCCCTCCCTAGGATTCTGGCACAAGTCTGAACTAAAAACCACAGTCTTATCATGCTTGTATGACTAAACTCAAGTTTTGTTTGAGATGCTTTTTCAAGTATCCCAGACACATACATGAGACAGGAAGTCAAGCAGACTTTGGTGACAAAGATCAGTGGCCTTTCCTGCTCCCTCGGCATAACTTGAACTTAGTGTCCAGTATTCAAAGTAATATTGCAGAACCAATGTGGAAGGAATGGGACACAAAATGAGATCGGAAGAGGTCAGACATGCTTGTGTGAACTGACTAGTTAAGAAAACACAGAGTTTGCCAGACAAAGGCGGAGTTATTGTCTCCCCTTGGGGTTTATAGCTATTAATTTTCTCTTTGTTCCATCCAGGTAGAGTATACATTGATGGGGGGGGGGTGAGCCAAGAGTTATACCGGGCAGCAGACATATGGAGAAAGGGAACAGACTTCAAGCAGGGTGAAGGCAGCAATAATGTGAGTGTTTCAGTAGAGAGGAAAAGCATACCTTTAGGAAAATTGTTAATTGCTTTTGCTATACAAAACCCGCCTGGGAAAAAAATCCACATTTGCTACAAGCAACATTGGTGTAATAATATGTACAAATCTTGGTCAAAGCCACACCATGTGGCTTTTCTCAAAATTGATCAGAATATATGGTTCTGGTCAGTTTATTGTATCCTCGTTGCTGAAGGAGAATGTAATGGTAATAAGCTTCACGAATGGACAAGTTGTTCCTGATTCCTTCATGTGGCAAAAGAAGACATTGTCTTGAGTTGTACTGTTAGTTCTTCATTCCTTCCTCCAGTCCTTTCTTTTCTCCTCTTCTTCCTCCTCCTTCTTTTGCCATTTTTTACTCAACTTACTGCTTTAATCCTCGTTTAGCCCGAGTTCCAGAAGTTAAGGGGTATTGTCACTAACCAGACCACTTTCCCCCTTCTTACCATGAAGTTAACAAAATAACAATAGTGGTGTTTCTTACCTTTGATGTTCTAGACTCCCATCCTCTGCACTAAAGAAGGGCTGTGGACCCAGGAATTCAAGTTGTGTGAAAACCTGCAAGGGGAATGCCCGCCACCCCCTTCAGAGCTGAATTCTGTGGAGTACAAGTGTGGACAGGGATACGGGATTGGTAAGAACGGGACATCTGCTCATATTGCCTACTTTGCTTTGAGACTAAGCATGTACCTGTGGCTGGATTGTAGCTCTGAACGGAATGATCAGCTGCATCCCACCCCATGCTGGGCTCCTGTATTACCTCTGTTGGTGTGGGCAAGATTGTTTGAGGCGGCACCGCTCACGTCGTTCTTCAAACTTTCTCTACACAGGACTGGGTTCCAGAGCCCGTGGGCAAGCACTTAAGTAATTGCAGTTAAGTTGTTTGGGGTCAGAGCCCCTTAGAGTAAGGTTGAGCCAACTTTGTCTAAACTGGCCCTACACATCACAGAAAAGATTTGTAATGTGAAACCTTATGAGATTGTATCTAAATTCTGAATTACATAGACCTGAAAATTTCTTGGGAGAGTCTAACCCATGTGATGGAAATGTGCGTAATATGAATTAATTGGAAAGCCAGTCATTTCTGAATTGATTCTTCACTGTGTTCTAAGTATTATTTGTATTATAATGTCTTGTGCTGATCAAAGCACACAAAGATCTGGATTATCAGGAATCTCAGAGGTCTCTTCAGTGGTGTTCCATGAGCAAATTCTCACCCTCAAAATTTCTGATTTCTACATAAAATATTATACATGTATGTTGGCTCCTAAAAGCACTGTATTATTTATCTAAAAACACAGACAATAAGAAATGAAAAGAAAATTAGAGACTACTTACATTGTAGGAAAGAGATCCCCAAGAATGAGTTTCATTTGACTAGGCTTTGAGGAAGAGGCACTTGGGTCTGCCATGTAAGCAAACAGAACAAGATTTTTCTTTGAGAGACCAAAATCTTTGCTTCTTATTTGGCTGTTCCCTCCCTTACTCAAATAAGTTTCTTGGTTGTGTTTGTAATAATCTTCAGCATGCCAACTGGCCGAATAGGACAATCCCTGGGGTAGTATAATAACCTCTATACCATTTCCTCCTTGTATTGAAGCTACAAGGTAACAGGAGCTATCAATATAAGCTATTGGGAGATCAGAATGATTAAATATACTAACAAGGCATCTGTCAATCAATACAGAGTTTGACTAGCTAGAGCTCTGATTTGGGGATGTGGCAATCTGCTAAATCAGAAATCAATCTTTTTGTTTAATGGCTCAGAGATGTATCAATTCCTGAGGAGAGAATATAGTGGACCAGGCAGAGGAGGCGACACATGGAGAAAGGAGAGAGTTAGTTGGTCACACTGGCTCTTTATGACCTTATGTAACAGTACCCTACAAGTACGCAAGGGGCAGAAGTCAGTCCTGCCTATAACTGCCATGATGTTATAATTGATAGTATAGACTTCTCAGTGTAGACTAAGCAAGCATTGAGAACGAGTGTGATCTGGGAGGTCCATGGCTCTGCTATACACTTCCATCCTTCAGGTGCGGTGTGTTCTCCATTATGCGTCATCCCCCCTAGTGATCCTGTGATGCTGCCAGAGAACGTGACTACTGACACTCTGGAGCACTGGATGGAACCTGTCAAAGTCCAGGTGAGGAAAGGGTCAGTTTTGTGTATCGTAAGTACAGAGGCTGCCAACTAAGACTCAATTGGCAGGACATTCCCTGAAGGAATGATAGATGCTCTCCAAATATCCTGCTATCAAACATCCCTGCGAATGATTCCCATGATCAAGGACAAGCGATCAAATAAGAAAGGAAGAAAAGTAACTGGAGGAACATTCATTTAAAGCTAGATGGTGGTGGCGCACGCCTTTAATCAAAGCACTTGGGAGGCAGAGGCAGGCGGATCTCTGTGAGTTCGAGACCAGCCTGGTCTACAAGAGCTAGTTCCAGGACAGAGAAACCCTGTCTCAAAAACGTGGGGGTGGGGAGGATGGAAGCTAGAAATAAGGCTCAGAGACATAAACAATGGGGAAGAAAGTGAATAATAAAAACAAGACAGGAAATGTGAGGATAAACTGAGGGAACATACGATGGTAAGAGGAGGAAGGAGGAAGGCTATATTAGAAAAGGTTTTGATTTTGTTTTGTTGTGAAAGCTGCTGATTTGGCATTCAGAAACATTGTATAATGCAGTGCGAGGAATGGTTTGGTTTATGACAGAAGGTCTTTGGGAACACCTGAGAAGCAGCGACTGTTTGGTATCATTGTCCTCCAGAAGACACCCAGGAAACTATTACAGAAACAGACTCTTTCCAGAGTAGAGAACCATTTGCTCTCTCTTAATGAAGCCTCCCTTTCCTCCTCTGTCCTTTAGGAGGGCCATTATTTACTTAGAGTGGTCCTAATGCATTTTGTTCATGTTTGGGTGCCTGATGCCCTGTTCAGTACCTGGTGCTCTCAAGCATCTTAAGAGCATTGGCTGTATGAGTAAAGAATTGTTAGAATACCACTTTCTACTTGAGAAACAAATATTTTCTCCTCACACAAGCCAAATCTGAGCAGCTTCTTGCTGCTATGGGTAAACACATCCTTGCTAATGTGGGGTTAACTCTGGTCAAGAAAATGCAGAACATTCATCTCCTCTTAAGCCAACACATTGAACAGCATCATCCTTTTTTTTTTTTTTGCATTTGCCATGATTATAGCCTGATTAGTAAATTTTTAGTTTTGGACACAAGTTGTTTATATGTGATATTTAAGCAACAATGAAACCCTGCAGTCTAGGCATTAAAAACATATAGTTTTTAAAGATGTGTTTTGCATTCATGTGCATATGTATATATGTATGCTAGGTGTGTAAGAGTGCATACAGGACCTGGAACACAACATTGGGTCCCCTGGAACTAGAAGTATACGTGGTTGTGAGCTGTCAGGGGTGGGAGCTTGGAACTGACTGATGATTCTCTGTAAGATCAGAAAACATTCTTAACTGTTGAGCTATCCAGCCCTGAAAATGTTTTTGTTTCTCGTAAGGCTGAACGAACTCCCATGAATTCTGCTAGTCACCAGGAGAATGGCCTCAGACAATCTGCTCATTGTTCTGGGTTTCTATTTCTTCAAGTAAATGAAGATCAAAGACATCTTCATGGGTTATCTCAGAATCAGAGGACAGCCATATGAATAGAGTTTAAATTGATTGGTCCCTAATAGTCTTTCTCAATCAGTTGCCAAGCAAGGAAGCTTCATTTGCTCATGCCCATTCCTTATCATCTGCTGTGACACTTCCCTGTCTTTATGATTAGGGGATATGTGTCCCATCACAGTGTTCTGGGACACAGATGCAGTAGCGGAAATCTTGAGATGGGTGTCGTGATGCTGTGGAAAACAAAATAAAGTAAATTAGATCCTCCCAACAATCTAAGGGAAGAACTGAGATGATTTGAAAAGTGTATAGTATAAGACCAATTTACTTTGCCTTGTAAGAATAATTTATTCTCAGAAAATAACCCAGGAGTTAGAGTTTCACAAGTTAAAAGCATAATAAACAATATTCTATGTGTTTCTGAACTCCAAATCAGCATCTTTCACACCAAAATAAAATCAAAACCAAATAGCAATCTAATAGTTAATAGTAAATATCCCAGTGGGGCAAAGCAAGGCATTACCTAGGCTCTTTATTTGATTTGATATTTGATTATCAGTTCTTCCATTGATGTCATATTAGGGAGTATTGCTTGCAAAACACAAAAGGATGCCCTGCATGTAGGATATCAGAACTGTATTGTAAAAGATGAATAAGAGAAGTCAATGGAAGTAATGAAAATGATGAGATGATTGACGTATTGTCTCTGAAGTTATCTATTATGAAACTATGTTCTAGCCACTGATGAGCTCATGAAGACTATCATTTTGGGGCAACCAAGGGACCATAGGGGGTGTAAAATATAACCTTCTATTCATAAATAAGAAGAAATATCTTATAAACCTAACCAACTATCTTAGAAAAGCTCCATATTTTAAGTAAAATCCTGTAACTCAAACTATCTTGGAGGCTGTTCTGTACTACATCCAGTCTTCAGTTGGGTGTCTCTTTGTATCACTTGGGCAGTATAAAAGAATAAGAGACATTGCATCCTCCTAAAAGCTAGGATGCTTGGAATGCATAAGGATGTGTCTTACACATATCCCAGCTAGCTCACTGAACGCTTCAAGTCTAATAAGTCATTACACTTACAGGTAATTGCAGTGTAAATATTAAAAGTTCAAGAACACCTATTTTAAGTATAGTTCAATTGTTTGATAAATAATTCTCATCTCTGTAATGGAAATCTCTGCTGTCTATCATATTTCAAATCGTTTTGTACCCAGTGAGAACACAGAGTGAAGAACCAAATTATATTCTTCTAAATTCTGCTTCAAATGACTTCATTCTCTGTAACAAGAGTGATAGCTTTTATCACTCTTTGAATAATACTTTGTTTCCAAACTCCTGTGTATGTTCACTACCACCACCACTACTGCTACTATTACTACACACACACATATATACATATATATGATTCAGATTATATATGTAACTACATATATGCAATTATGTATATAAATATGTTTTCTATATATGATCTGAATCTCATCACAAATTAATAAACTTAGAAAGACTTTATCTCTACTTTACATATACATAGGCATTGCTTGATAATCTGCCCAAAATTCCACAGTTGTCAAGAAGTCAAGTGAAGAAAATGTCTAAGCAATCTTCTTCTTTTTCTTCTTCTTCTTCTTCTTCTTCTTCTTCTTCTTCTTCGTCTTCGTCTTCGTCTTCGTCTCTGTCTTCGTCTCCGTCTCCGTCTCCTTCTCCTTCTCCTTCTCCTTCTCCTTCCTCCTCCTCCTCTTCTACTTTTGTTTTCTGTTTTTTGTTTTTTCCAAGATAGGATCTCTCTGTGTAACAGTCCTGGCTATCCTGGAACTCACTTTGTAGACCACACTTAAACAAGGTCCTTGACTCTAAATTGTGTGCCAATGCCTGTATCACCACAACCACAGGAGTCTTTCCCCCTCTAGCTGTCTGCTTGGGATAGTTTTCCCATGAAACAGAAAATAGGCTATTCTTTTGAACCATGAAAAATACCAGTCTCCACCTTTCCTTCCCTTACCATAAAACCTGGAGAAAGATCATTGAAAGAGATTTCCCTCTAACACTGCTTTTCTTTCTGTGGGATAGAATTTGGAGTTTGGTTTTGCTCTTAAAGATCAGTGAGATATGCTTTCAGATGGCTATTTACTCTTCTCTAGAGTTTATTTACCCTTCTCTAGATGGCCAGTTGGTTTGTATTCCTGCAAATGATGGCTGAGATTCAGAATACTATGCATTTTATTAAAAAAAAACAATTTCCTAAAATCTAGATTGTCCGTGGGTTTTGATGAAAAATACCCCTAAGAAACAACTGAGAGAAAGAAAGGTGGTTTGCACTCAGAGCTTCTGGGCGTTCCCCTTCAAGGCGAAGGAAATACTACTTCTCCTGCAGTATTCTTATGAAAGTTAAAAAAAAAAAACACCCAGCACACATAAGAAACACCCAGCCCAGTTTCCATCATATAAATCTTAAGTTTAAGTGATATTTTAATTTATTTAGTATAAATTTATCCTTTTAAAATCTCCTCCACCTCTGTGAAGATTGTGCCACTTAGCTCCATAGAACAAGAAAGCATTGTTTCATGGTTTGCTTGTGTGTGTATGTATAGATAAATATCTGGATCATTTGCTCTTCTTTCTTTATCCTTTTACAAACATGGCTTGAAAAACTAGAGAATCAATACTTCAATAGGAAGTACAATACTTCCTATTGTACCAACTTTGACTAAGAAGGCCATTTCTTAAAACCTCTTGTGATGCATAGGATAGAGTGATAACACCACCACCCCCGACACACACACTCACACACACACACACACACACACACACATACACACACTATTCTGCTTCAGTTTTACAAGAACATGTTTCCTGTGGGAGACAGTAGGCCAGAGTACAAAATTCCCAGGTAAACATTGTGGATCTTTGACATGATGACCGGGCAGTGGGATCTGACAATAAGGAGAGTTAGGGTGCTTTGTGCTGAGTCAGTGTTGATACCATAGTTCACATCCTTACTCTCTGGAACCACTGCTGCTGTCTCCTGACATCTGCCTTTATTTCCTAAGAGTTCAGCATCTCCACGCTGCTGAGAGTGTGGGATACACTTCTCCAGACCAGGAGTATGATGTGATTTTCAAGTCTCCATGTTTTATTCTCTTGATTTCTTTCTTTTTCTTTCATTTGACATGCTATCCCAACTTCATACTGAGCAGAAAGGTCCTCAAAGTAGGTAGACACCTCACCCTTCATCCAAGTGTCATATCCTGTATGATCATAGAATGAACATAGTGTAGGAAAGCAGAGAACCTGCAAGATGGAAGCCTCTACTGAGACACTTCTCAAAGCTTTGTTTTTCTAAAATCCTATGTCGGGGTGAGGTGAACTGTTTATGGTTATCGTCACCTGCCCCTTCCTGAGGTTGGCTTGTGATAGCTTGACTTTAAAATGGGGAAATATATATTTTAAGGTGGAAAGATGTGGAACCTTTTTTATGAGCTGGTTTGTTTTTTTAACACAATGCAGCAGTTGTTTGACTGGAACTACATTTCCCTAAATTGTATTTGAAAGTGATTCCTTCCGAAGCACGAGGCATCTACCATTGCCTCTCATTCTCCAACACACTCCCATTATTCTGCCTCATAGATTCCTACTTCACAGACTGCACAATGCTTTCCCCTCTGTCTTTAAAGAATGATCATAATTATGAATTAGGCAGGTGCGAGCTAGTGAGGCTTCCCCAAGGGATGGATTTGGAAGGACCATTTGTAAGACTATCTGTGAACTCCCCAGCTCTTCAGTAGCATAGTGACGTCAAAGCTTTTTATCTTTATTTTGATTTGCTTTCTCAAATTAATCATGAAAGAACTAGTGGTACTTTTAGTAAACAGAATAGTTTAAAGGAAAAGAGAAAGAAGGGGAAATAAAGAGGTCTTACTGTGTGGGAGCTGTGACTTCTCAGTATGTGGTCTCATCCTCCTTTCTCGCTCGCATTTGCTCCTTCCTATTTAACCTAATACAAGTCGAAAATCAATTCTGTTATTTCATTCCTTTTGCTATAACTAAGTATATGTAAAATCCTTTCGTATGTGCAAATGTAAGATAAATCCATCATAGTGATACTGACAATACTCACTGACCTTTAAATGCTAACTCAGTTTTCAGAGTAGTTCAGACTACCATACCTTGTTAATCTGTGTAAGTTGCTAAAAGTGCATAGTATGTCTGTTTTACCCATCCTAGATGCCAAATCCTTGAGAAAAAGACCCGGTCTTCCTGTACTATTCTTTATGTCACCTTTCAGGCAGGTGACATTACCAGCACTGGACAACTGCTAAATGCAATGCTGGGTCCCCAGGCTTCTCCTGAATCTTCCGGCTTATGACAGCCATCCACCCATAAACACAGCACTTACCTCTAAGGACGTGGTGAGGTGAAGCTACTGGTCCCTGATAAAAAGACAATTGCAAGTGTTCCTCAGAAACTGCAAGAAGGAAGTGAACTGTGGTGAGGGTGGGGGCAGTGAGCCAGACAGATCAGTGGGAGCGCCTGGTGAGAAGTGAATTTGATTCTCTTCTAGGCCTAGGGGCCTAGCATCACCTTTAGCAGTTGTCCACTGTTTATAATGTGTCAGCTGCCTGAAACTTGACATAAAGAATAAGTTGGGGAGACCGGCCCTTTTCTTTTCAAGGATTTGGCATCTACAACAGACATACCTGTAACATGAGGGCCGGCTTGTTGGGGTTTCTGTCCAGCCCAGTACCCCAACAGCCGGCAAGCAACAAAGAAAATAACACAGAGTCTACATTAGGTTATAAACTGATTGGCCCATTGGGTCAGGCTTCTTATTAGTCCTTGTAACTTATATTAATCCATTATCATTATCTATGTTAGCCATAATGGCTCAGTACCTTTTCCAGAGGGGGCAGCTTACATGTTGCTTCTTCAGTGATCTGCGCAGGAGTGGCAGAGGAACTTCCCTGCTTCCCAGAATTCTCCTGTTCTCATTGCTCCACCCCTACTTCCTGTCTGGCTTTCCTGACTATACTGCCTGCCTGGCCAATCAGCATTTTATTAAAATATGATTGACAGAATACAGACAATTCTCCCACACCACATACCACCCACTTTTAGCAATTTACACAGTTTAAGGAGAAATGGCAGTCTGAACGACTCTGAAAACTGAATTTGCATTTAAAGATCAGTGAGTATTGTCAATCTTACTATGATGAATTTATCTTACACTTGCACATATGAAAGGATTTTGCATATACATAGTAAAAAGGATGAAAATAACAAAATTGGCTATCCATATGGGCTAGGTCAAATAAGTTAAAAGTGCACGCAAGCAGTGGTGTGCTTATTATCACCAGTTCCACAATTTTGAGCCGCATTCGAAGCAAACTTTAATTAAATACTGACCAGGATGAACTCTAGTCAGGTTCATTCTGGGATTTCCAGGCAATGGTCATAAGTCACATTTTGTGGGACTTTAAAAAGGCAAAACCCGTAATTCATTGCATTTTCCATGAGGTCCAATCAGGGGCAAACATACATCTCAATGTATTTCCTGTCTATACACTTCCCACCTATATGTGATCGAGCACATCTGTTAGTCATTCAAACAGATTTGTTGAGGGCAGTGAACATGAGGCTAGATATTCCTCAAGAATTGCAGCTCTCTGCCTTCTGGAAACTTATCTTGTCCTTGGGCAGGTGGGGCTTAAAGGTTTAGCTTTGGCTCTTAAAGTGCTATGCATTCAAGAATCCTAGGAAAGAGAATTTTTTTAAGTCATGGCTCTTCAGACACAGCCATGTACTAATTTCTTAGAAATTACTTACAATTTTAGTATTCTTCCTATGAACGGATCACACTCATTGTGTTGTGATTGCCTTTTCAAATACTCCCTTCAGCACTCTGAAAGGTCTGATACCTTAGGGAAGGAACAAGAAGATGAAGGCGGCACCAAGTTCCCACTTGGAGAGTTTCTTCTGCCTTCACACTACCCAGCAGGGTTAGTGGCTTCCGTGAGAAAGACCAGGTGCTTGCCAGGCACATGGAGAGGAGGCTTGCCTTCAAAGCACCAGAGTTGGCTGTGGGGCAAACACGGAACTGACCATGTCTCCCATAGACCTAATGTCTCTGTTTCCCGTGTTTCTGTTGTAGAGCATCGTGTGTACTGGCCGGCGCAAGTGGCACCCAGACCCCTCCCTGGTCCATTGTATTCCATCATGTGAGGTATGACGTGAGTTCCTCCAGTTCAAGGCCCTGTTTTTCCTGATCTCTCTTTCCTTCCTTTAGTTGTTTCTTAAATGTACCTACCTCCTAATCTCAGATTTACAGAATTTAGGATTTCTGAAGTCAGTTTTATTTTAGTAAAATCTTCAGTCATTTAAAAAAGCAAGCCAGAATTATTTATGGTTTTTAGGATTCTGTAACTAGGCCTTGGTTGAAATTAGTTAAATAAGATTTTACTGTAGACAATTTTGTTCAGCCGGCACAGTGTTTAAGATCAACTTTGGTGTGTGTGTGTATGTGTGTGTGTGTGTGTATAAAATTGAGTTTGTGTGTGTGTGTGTGTGTGTGTGTGTGTGTGTCTGTGTGTCTGTGTCTGTGTGCATTTATGCAGACAGAGTATTACACTGTAGTCACAATAGCCCAGACTAGGCCTTGCAGTAATCTTTTCGCCTCAGCCTCCTGAGTGGCAGAATTATTCATAGGTAAGGGCCACCAGGCTTGGTTTAAAATTGAGATTCATATGTACTTATATAATATCACACACATACATATTACAAATTAAAACAAATACAAAATTATTGTGCAAAACTTTTTTTTCTTACAAAACAAGAATATCTGGAAGTTAGGGCCATAATTAGGGACCTTGAATAACAGGTATAATCTCAAAGCAAGTATTACTCAAGTGAGCATGTGGTTCACTTCTTCCCTGTGGTCACTTTTCTGAGGCTCCCTCCTTTGCATCAACTGCAAAGTCAAACAGGTGTCCAAGCAACCTTCTAGGTAGATGTATATTGCATCATGGAGTGGTCTGACCTAGATATTTACTATATCAAGAAATCCTGTCATCCTCCCTCCATAGTGGATTTCCCTTTCAGTGGTCACTGCTGGTACGATGACTTTTTAACCTGACAAAGAGGAGACTAGGCTGAATCAGAGCATTGCCTAGAGAGTTGACGTAAGAACTGTTGACACCGAGAAGGATGATACATATGCAGCCCATTTATGCAAGCCCTCCAATCCTGGGAACAGTAGGTAACAAATACATATATTCTAATCTAGGCACTGTCCTGCGCAGTATGGCTGACTCTAGGGAAAGTCCTGACTGAGGTTGGAGAAAGCATGAAGAAAAGACAGACAGACGACAGATAGCCAGGCAGGCAGATACATGGAGGCACAAAAAAAAAAAAAATGGCATCAGATGGGTGAGGATCTGTGTGGAGATCCTGCGGCACACAGAGCGACTTTGTGTGTTTCTTATATAGAGTTAGTTATATAACAAAGAGGCGGGGTTATTGCAACTGTACAAGGCTGAGTTGATGATAAACAGTTGGATCAAGGGAACAGGTTTAGCTAATCCTAGTAGGAGCAGTCTCTGTAAGGGAGCAATCTGCAGGCTCTAGATATCAGGGGAGAGAAAGCTAGGGTGAACATTTCCTATAGACAGTCAACACCCTACTTTGTCTGCCCTGAAAGGGTTTGCTACCCCTGTCAGTGGCCATGGCCGTGTCCACAGCACCCATTCTCTCGGGACTCCTCTTACTCGTGGTTTCTCCACGTCCCACAAGCCACTGCAGATTTCTTCATCCAAACCTCTCTTTGGAAGCTAATACGCCACTTTGTAGCACTGCCCAGATATTTTTGGCTCTTTGGAGTGTGCTAAAGAGAGCGCCTTTAACGGCCATTGATTTCCAACAATCTCTTCAAGCACACCCAACCTGCAGGCAGGCATGCGTGTTAATCTCCTATTCGGTACCTCAGAGTCACTTGAGCTAGTTCTGGGAAACTGGGATCCACATGAGACCAGAGAAAGGGTGGGGTTTAAGAGAAAAGAGAAATCTTAGCGGGGAAAAGATACCCATAAAACAGCATTCTGAGGATGCATGAGGGCTAATGCTAGCGTGGAGTGTGCTGGGTTATGGTGCGGGGCCAACAGAACAGCTCATCTTCTGCCATCATTAGAAAAACAGATGGTAGTGGGGTGGGGTGGGGTGGGGAAGCAAGGGGAGGCAGTGAATCATCCACTGGGCAGGGGGTGATGGGGAGAGAGGAGGCCAGGGAAAGAGGGAGATAAACAGACAGAGGGCTTAGGGAGCTGGACAGAGATCAAACAGATCCTGAGAGTTCCCTTCTGCTGCTTCTATGCATCATCATAAGTACAAGGGTGGATGTCAGGGTTTGGGGCTGGCTTTCCAGAAGGTTACGATACAGAGCTTTCCACGCTTGTCCTTTCCTCTGCCCTGCACCCAAGCCTACCCTCCAGACTGACCTATTAGTCAGAGCTTCCTAGGTAGCTTTGTTCTCTTTGAGGATGCCACCAGAAGCAAAGCGCTCTCCTCGCTGGTTGCTTCCCTTCTCCCACTGCTATCGTGCACAATCAAACCCAGACCGTCTGACTGACAGTTCAGTGGCTCTGTGTGGCCCCTGACTAGTGTCTTTGTTATTACTTGGGGACTCAGTAGATCACACCTTCTTAGGATAACCCTACACCCATTGTGTTAGAAAGTGCACAAGGGGGCAGCAATCTATTTTATCCAGCAAGGGATTCTGAAGGTCTCGGTGGAAGTCTAAGACCCACTATCCCAACCCCTGGGAGGAAAGTAAAAAGTTACTTGTCTGGGCTTCTCCATGTTGAATCTTTCTTTATTCAGAAATAATTACATTCTCCCTCCTCTACCCAGCTCTGTGCATGTGTGTGTGTGTGTGTGTGTGTGTGTGTGTGTGTGTGTGTGTGTTGAAGAGTAGTATATGTGTGTATTCGTGTGCATCTGGCTACACAAACAGATGCAGGACAGAGAGTAGTATTGAATGTCTTCCTCAGTAACTTTGCACTTTACTTTTGGAGACAGGGTCTCTCACTGAACCTCAAGCTAGCTGATTATGCTGTCTGGCCAACCCACTTCAGCTATTCTCCTCTCTCTGCCTCCTAGATGCCAGAATTACAGGTGCCACACATGGTTTTTTTTTAATGGGTGCCAGGGATCTGAACTCAGGTGTTCACACATACATAGAAATCTCTGACTAAGCCATCTCAGCCTCAGACGTAATTCTATACAGCATTATTTACATTCTGATTGTCATACACTACTATGTGAAGTCTATACTGTTATTTCTAGGTTCTCTGGGTTAGGAGAGGTCTTTGGTTTCTGCTCTTTTGAAAAAAGCAAGGGAGAAGAAAGTCCATCTAAAGAGAGGAGGGAAAAGCAGAGATAAGCAGAGTCGGCAGCACCCACAGGAAGGATACAGCACAGGAAAGGAAAGAAAATGTCCTTGAAGACACGAGCAGTGAGAATTGCAGAGAGGGAAGATGGGGACCAGGAAAAAAGAAGATGGTGAAACTGGCAAGTTCTTGATGCGACTTGGCCAGTTCTTAATACTTTCCTGGAAAAGACTAAACATGATAGCATCAAAGGCAGATAGAAGGAAAACAGACCCAGAGGCACGAAACAGAGGGCCTGCTGGGTGAGAAATTTTGCAAAGCACAGTGTATAATCTGTACTGAAATTAAATGCATTGTGACCCATAATCTAGATGGACTTCCATTTTGCAATCCAGTACTAAATATTTGTCTCGACTGTTCCCTGGAGCCACTCAGCCTTGGGCAAGTGTGCCTTGTGCATTATTTCTCCTAGTGACTCAAGGCAGTAGCCTCATTCCACTGCCTCATTGTCTCCAGCCTGCCTTGCATCAGTGCTAACAAAGTAACTTACTAGCATCATTTCTCTCTCCTGTACCACTCTTGTCATCCATCCTCTACCATTCTCTGCATCTCAGATTCTTAAGAGGCACCTTCAGGAATTCCTGTAAAACAACCAAGCCATTGGCGAAACCTCTCAAAGCAACTCCTCCTCCTTGTGACCTATACTGACACTATCTCCAACGGAAGGCAGGTACACTGCAGATCTGTAGCCCAGGTTTGTTCATCTTCAAATTCTATTATTCTAGTTGCTTCTTGCACTTGGTCTTTTTGACCTAAGTTTTTTTTTTGTATTTTTCTATTTTATTTCATGAGTCATAAATGAACGAGAAATGGCAAGCTGGTTAAAGGAAAAGGAGGCAGACAACTCAGGATTCAATTTCTGGTCAGCTAGTGGTATGAACTTGAGAGTCTTGATCTGAAGTAGCAAGTGACCGACAAAACTATTTCAAGGTCTTGTTGACGACTCATAAAATACTGTATGTTGTGTCTGACCGGCCCATAATGCATTTTTATGGTAGTGTCATTGTTTGTAATGTATTCGCTACCCCGTTAATACTTGTCCAATGAGCAAAGCCTAAACCAGGGGCAATGCTGTTTCTATGATCTTTACACAATTAGGTATGAACCCTGAAGCTGGGGAAAAGGTAAGCAAGGGAAAACAGGAAGTTCCCACGAAGATTCATTGAGATGTGTACATCACAGATCACTTGGAGACAGTTGGCTATTGTATCCAATCAGTCACTAGATCAGCTTGTCGTCAGATCATTCTGTGGGTCACTCTATTTCTTTAGTCTTCATCTTGTCCTCTTAGCTGGAGTCTAGCCAGTTTTCTCAAATGGGTTGCTATCATAGATTCCTCATTGTTCTTCTGCCTCCCAGACCTGTGCCAAACAACCGCCTTCACACCCTCCACTGCTACTATGGTATTAGTTTAGTGTTCATTTTTTCCCTAAATCATTCTAGAAAGTCCCTGGCTTTTCCACACTTCTGTCTATAATGAGTGGGTCTATAGTAAACAGGCCTTTCTCTTGCAGACCTGTGTCTGTTCTAGTCCCTATGTTGTGCCCCGACATGAAAAGCTTTATGTCATTTGGTATTCTAAGATGTGCATGGGCTTCGCACTCTGACTTCAATTTTAGGATTGGAAACCTGTTCTGCTTGCTGGGTGACTCTGGACAAACACTGTTACCTTTACTACCCTCAATTGAGGCTTAATAGGATTTTTCAGAAGAGTTTTCATGTAACATCTATCATACAGTTGTTGTGAAGATAAATGAGAGGCCATGGGTGGTGAAGTCAGTCA